ATATATATATATATGAGTGTGTGTGTAGTAATGTAATAGAAGGAAATCTTGATAAGCACATTTATTTTTCTTTTCATCATGAGTAATTTACTTTTTCGGTAATTTGTTTCACTACTAACCCTATGTTGTACTAATAAATTCTTTTGTAGCAAATACAATTTCTAAATTCAACGACGTTCTTTTCAAACTGAAACTGTCTCTCAGTATTTATCTTTTAAATGCATTACTCGTGACAGTAAATTTTAATTTTTAACTAATTTTTTAATTTTATATTTTAATTTTTAAACTATCAAAAATTTTTTCTCGCGTTTTCTTGTGTTCAATACTTCAAAAATATTCAACTAAAAAATCATTCCTATTCGGCGTTTAATAATTATCAGGTTCGACATATTGTAAAATTGTCTTTCTACTAAGTCACTAAAAGAGCCCACAACATAAAGATAAGGTACTACATTAAAGAAAGGTCCATTATTCTGCCATCTCTATGTCGTGAATTATTCTGCATATTGTGTTTAATATATATGAATGTTTTTATTTCTTCTCTACAATGCTTATTAACCGTCGCAGATTGACGATCTGAGAGTCGTGGTATAAGGCAAGGAAAATAGGATGAAATAAATAAGCCATTAATGCCAACTGTAAAATCCGGTATTAATTATAAAAGTAAAATAAAAATCTGATATTAATTATCAATATATATATATATATATATATATATATATATATATATATATATATGTATGTATGTATGTATGTATGTATTAATAAATAAAAAGCTAACGCTTAAAATGAGCTAAAAGCTTAAAATATGAATGAATTGAGGGCCTCTAAATGTCAAAATCAACAGAGCCTAAATATAAATATTAATGCCAAATCCGCTACACTGAGTTTCATGCAATGGTGTAATCATCAGTTCCGCCTGATGATTGCCATTGCATGAAACTTTGAGTAGTGGATTAGGGATTTGATATTTATATATATATATATATATATATATATATATACTAGAGTTCTAAAGTTTGAAATCACCTCCAGAATTAGCCTGGGATGAACTTGACAAAAGAGTGAAACATTTCCACCCAAAAAATGAAGAAAAAAAAGGTCTTAGAGTCATTGAAAAACGAATATAATGAATTATCAAATTCAACGAATGCTAAAAATATCTACTGCAGTAATCAAAGTTGAAGGGGGATATATTGACGAGAGCAAAATTTAATCATAAAAATCAATTTCTTTTTGCCATAATACAATTTCTAATAAAAAAAAACACTTTTTTAATCATGCATAATAATTTTTTCTTATTTAAAGTATAAAACAACTACGATTTTGGGTCAATTAAAAAAATTAAATGAAACTCTAAATTTTGAAATTATATATGTATATATATATATATATATATATATATGTATATATATATATGTGTATATATATATATATATGTATATATATATATTATGTGTACATATGTATATATGTATGCATATATATGTATATATATATATGCATATATATATATGTATATATATATGTGCATATATGTATAGTATGTATATATATGTATGTATATATATATGTATGTATATATATATGTATGTATATACATATGTATGTATATATATGTATGTATATGTATATATATGTATATATATGTACATATGTATGTATATGTATGTATATATATATGTGTATATATACATGTATATATATATATATATGTATATATATGTATATATATATATGTATATATATATATGTATATATATATATGTATATAATTGTATATAATTTTATATATTGTGTTATTTGATGTTTTTGTTATTTTTTTGTATTGTTATATGTAATATGATATATATGTTTAAAATTTATATAATTTTGTGTTTATATTATATATTATGTATATATATGTATGTATAATATATATATATATGTATATATATATGATATTAAATATATATATATAATATATATAATCATGATTATACAAATAGACGACAACAAGAAACTACGGTACGTTAAAACATGTAGCATGAAAAGCTTATTCAAATTCGACAAAAGTACACAAAGTAAAACCCAAAAATAACAATGTCATTTAATGACACATGTCGACATACCCAAGTATTTTATAGAATTAAAAATTAAAAAAATAATAAAAAAGTTGTCCTGTTTTTGGGTTCGTGGAAAAATTGAAAAAATGATTTTGAATTTTTCTACTGACCTGAATAAGATTGTTGATGCCTTTCCGTTTTTTGGGTTTGCAAGGTTTTTGGGATAATTTTTGTTAAGAAAACACCAAAATGCATGGATTGGGTTTTTTTTGTAGATTTGTAATACTGCTTAAAAATTGTGAATTAATAATATAGTATATAGTGGATAACCTTGGGGGAAATATTTTTTATTAATTGAAATAGTTTTAAAAAAATTTTGGGTTTTTTAAAAATTTTGGGGTTTTTTTTGGGGAAAAAATTTTTTTTAAGGGGGGGGGGTTTTTTTTTTTTTTTTT